CTTTATTGATACATCTACATCCAGTTTTGTGCTATACTCACGACAAAATGTAAGTCACTAAACACATTTAGCAATAATAATTAAATAATACTAGAGTACACAGTATCATACAGAGAATTTTAGAATATATTAATATTTATATATGAATAATATTGAATGATTTCTGATAATAATCGTGCCGGCGATTACAAATATAGATAAAACTGCATAAAAGGTAACACACATCTCCGATTTTATCGCTACTTAAATATGTTGTAGGGGAGGTTTTTCTGAGTAATTCCCCGCAAGAAATAAATGGGGGACGGCATTGGTTTAGGAGATATAATAAATTAAAGTTTCACAGTTTTAATACTTTTTCTCAAATATTATAAAGTAATATTAGGAAAAGTAAAGTTTGTGTACGTTGTATTTGTTGTAAAACAGACGAAAAAGTGTTTGTTTACATTCACGGGATAGATACACGATGATTGATATTTTGTCAATAATATGTTTCATCTATTTTTCGCAGTTTGTTAACAGCTTTCAACATGCAACTACACGAATTTGTAAGTCTTGCCTTGAGAAATATTATTTATTAAATGCGTGGACAGGGAGGGGGGCTCCGCTCCTGCACCCCCGTTCCGAAAAAAATGTAACCTAACCCAATCCAACTTTGCTTTTAAAATTGAAAATAGATTTGGGTTAGATTAGAATTTTTTCGGAGGTGGGGGTGCAGGGGGAAGAACAGAGCCCCTCCTCCGCTCATGCCTAAATGTCAGTTTTTTTCAATGAAAAAATTACATTCACAAATTCACAATACATATACTTTAATGTCATACTTCAATTTGTTATATCTTCTAAACCAATGCCGTCCCCCACTTATTTCTTGCGGAGAATTACTCAGAAGAATCTCTCCTACAACATATTTAAGTAGCGATAAAACCGGAAATGTGTTACCTTTTATGCAGTTTTACCAATTATATAAATGTGTAATAAAATAATTAAATATTTTGAAAATAGTTCTTACGCCGAAAATAGTTCTTCCTCTATAGATAAAGTTATTGAAATAGCTAGAATTTTGTATCCATTTGAAATCCTGCATTAATAGCGTGTGCTTAATTATAAAATCGTCTAATATTATGAGTAGATACGAATCTGTGATGGTTGATACTTAAAAAACCATCTCGAAATGTCGAACACGTTGAGCCACAGGTGGCTCGCGAACTAACTTAACATTCTCGGTATGATTCATGCACAGACCATACATTCCGCAAGGAACATCTATCAGCTTATTAAGACCTAACTCGCACCTAATCCCCGTGGGGTGTCAGCCTATTAAGCCGTTTCCTAACAGACCTGATTCATGTGACCACTCACAGTATATCTACGTTACATTGACAAAAGATAAAATAAAGCTATTATATATCACATATTCAATCTATCTATGTAAAAAAAGAAACAAAAACGACGGAGTCTCCTACGTTAAATTTAATCATGCCAAAATAATTTTTATGCAAAAATATTGTTGTACCGAAAAAGAATTGAATATTTTATATGTTCTTTGGTTAAATTAACGGTATTAAAAGGGCACTTGAATTTCTTATTTTTATATATATAATTAAGGTGTCTATACTCACACAA